TTTGTAAACATTTTTATATAAGACCTGAACTAAGGGCTAGAGATGGACCGTACAATACAACTGCCATATAAGGTATCTATTAATCACAATAATTATTATAATACAAATCAAACCAGTAATAAAATTAGTAATAAAATTACGGCCCATACCGTAGCCAACAAAAAGCCGATAGTTCCCGCCAAACGTATATATTGAGCATCAAATCGTTTGGACAAATACTAGGGATTAATATTTTATTAATAAATTATTAATTATATCGATTAACACAATAATTTATTTCAATAAAAACTTTATCTCAAAGTTCATACCTCATGAACACTGATGACTTCCAGTTTATAATAGATAGGCATAAATACTTCTGCCGCCAAAAATATGGACAAAACGATAGACACATTCTGGAGAACAAACTGAGTGCCCACTTGAAACACTTCGGCCGGTGCTCCCAATATGGTGTTTGTGGACATAAAACTGGCCACAAGTGATAGAGTGACCGGGAATACACCCAACTTTCGGTCTCCCGTCAAGAATTCACTATTTGTGGCATTTTTTCTGGTAGTCCACCAAAAGTATACTCCAATTAGAGTGGAGGCGACTAATAAGAAGCCGAATACCAAGTAATCAATTACCGAAAAGTTTGTGCTCAACATTTCAATTCACTTTCAATATATGATTTATAAGGTGTTTGACTTTGAAATTCTAATTAATAAATAATAATACACTTAATGCTTAATGAATACATAATATTAAAATAAATTATTTGTAAAAATTTTGTAAGAGAGTGCCGTTCAAAAACCGATAAACTTGTTAAAAATGTGTTTAACTAAAATATATGACATAAAAAAGTGCATGTTTGATAAAAATAATCATAACTTTAATGTCTACTTACTGGCTATTTTATAGAAAAAATATTTTGCTTAAACCTGTCATTTGACAGGAAATGTATGTAAAAGTCATTTAATAATACTGTACTTGGTGAAAGTCCTATAATTCTTATAAAATTAAAATGATTATTTGTTTATTTATTGATAGAGAAAGGAGATTAAATTCAGGAATCGGTTTGACATGAAATAATTCAGACAAGTTTCTAATTAATCAATTTGAAACGTTAATTTGTGTCTCTGTTTGCTATCAATTTGTCAATGAGTTGTAAATATTAGATATGGTTAAGTAATGAATTTCCAAAAATAATCATATTCTTAAGAAAAACAAAATAAGTGGCTCCAAAAGTAATATAAACTCCTTATTGAGGACATAGTATGAGATAATTTATATTAAATAAAAGTGATATAAAAATAAAACAATAATTCACATTTTTAGGTATTTTTTGAAATATTTAAACTTCAAATAANTTAATTTTAATTATCATAACCACTCTTACAATTATACTTAGATAATTATACTTACAATTATATTTACAAATTATAGTTTGTTCAAAATATAAAGTATTTTGTAATTTGTTATTTACCGGTATATGAAAATAACTTATAATTATAAAATATTAAATAAAATGCAGTCATAAAGGTTAGGTTAGGTCAGGTTAGGCAGTCAGAAAAGCCGAATACCAAGTAATCAATTACCGAAAAGTTTGTGCTCAACATTTCAATCCACTTTCAATATCTGATTTATAAGGTGTTTGACTGTAAAATCCTAATGCCATATAAAAGTGATATAAAAATAAAACAATTCACATTTTGTGTAATTTTTTGACATAATTAAGAGATAAACTTTTAATTTCAAATAATTCAGATAATTAATTTATACAATTATACTTACATATAGACTTTATAGTATTGAGTCCAAGTTAATGGCTAACTCAATAATGAAAATAAAAATAACAGGTTTATATGCTAAATAATAGCAATTGGACAATGGACTCAATTATCAAATAATTTTGGTTTTAGATCATTAGAGTTTAATTACATGAATGTTTGCACAGGTATGTCAGCACAAACAAGTCTGTACCAGAATTCAGGTACAGAAAATTTTATTTGAATTAAAAATTAATATTACTTATAAACTAAAATTGAAATTGGATCAATTCATCAAGTCATTTGAGACATAATTTCTAATTTTATTTTAAAGACAATTTTGTAATCATTTGAAAAGTGATGAAATTTGAGGAAACCTATTGAAGGTTAGCCTGGATTTGAATGCCAACCAAATAGAAGAGTCGATCCAATTCTTTGACAAACATTTTCAGAGAATGGCATTTATCCGATGGGTTACGAAGACTTAGGGAACACTTCTCTCCCTCTGTATACAGTTGTCCATAAAGTTTAGTAATCTATTCATAAGGAATCATAAGATTGTTATAATTATCTATCAATTGATCACAACTGAGGTGTGA